TCACGACAATGCAATTACTCATACTATACACAATTTCCAGTAGGCCTGAATAGAAACTCCCAAAAATAAAACTAAAACATCCAATCAAATTCACAGTAGGACACATAATTATAACGTTGGTGTCCTGGCATCATTAAACGAATCGTCCACACATATTCTTTATATCAATTTCATTGCATCAATTGCTAAATAAATAAGTGTAAAAAAAGAAAAGTAAAAACAACAACATATAGTTTGTTTTGGTAAACAGCTGAGTCAAAAATAAAATAATATTCATTTGAACAAAAGAACTGGTCACATGTTGGAGGAATTTAAACCGTAAACACGCTTGTAAAGCTAGTGACGTAATTAATTGGCTATGTTTATTATCCATTCCGTTATCAGTTCTAATATCCTTAATAATTAAACCACCCTCATTGAATCAATGTACACCGTAATTCCCCATATTCATTTATTTAAACTATAAAATATTCAGAGCCTCCAAACTTAAAAACAACTAAACACACGCCAAACAACTTTTTAGATCTCATAAAAGGATGGGTTGTCTAATTGCAGTATCCTAGGTCAATGATGACGTTGTGCTCAATCTATGTCATTCATCTGTATATCTTTGGATACACCCGTCTGAGGTTGTGGTGGTAATTTAAAATCGTATTCCTGAGGATTCTTGATCTCCATCTTTATGACATCAATATTTCCGGGCCTAATTCAAACAAAGTTTAAGCATTCAAAAACATTAATTGTAAACAAAAAGCTACCAAGATGAATTAAAACTTGTAAAAAATTGATTTTCCTACCCTTTCCAAAAAAAGTTGAGCAGTAAAATAATGTGCATATCCTTTTTTTAAGACTCTTGTACAGAGCCTCGACTTGTTTACATCGATGGTGTTACTTATCTCGGTGGTCTACTAATCTTACTTATTTCCTATAATCAATGACAAAATCAGAGTAAATAAAATAACCTCATAGTTCTATTGAGCATTTGTATTTAACCAGCTGTTAGTTAAAAGAAAATTATATTGAACTAAAACAAACCGAAGATTACAAAGATTTATTTAAAAAAATCATTTGAACATCCTAGTATTTTGTTATGTATATTTAAATAATCTGTCATCCTCTTATCGAAGGATTGAACGTATAAATGATTAGCATTACACATAGTATAAATAAGTCAACCCTTAGTATGTATTTTAATTTTATCCAAATGCTGAATTTGTGTTACAAACGCTGAATGTTTACAGCTGTTATGTTAAACAAATTATATTATACCAAAAGCTAGTTTAGAATCTTAGCGTCGGCTGCTAGACTTTTCAAAAATTAAAACTTAATTTCTGAATAACTGGGACCCTAAACTAAAATTATGGCTTCGACATTCCCTAGTTCTCAAAATTATCTTTCTTTCAACACAAAAATCATGAAAATCCGTTGAGTGGTTGATTCAGAATCGTGAAATAAAAAAACACTGTTTCGTTTTAATATTATAGATAATGTATTTATTTTACATTTTATTAAACATATGATTGTATTAAATCAAAAGTAGACCCAACCTAAAATATCAAAAAACCAAACAATAATATACGTAGGCCCCTACTTTCTAAATTAACTCTGTTAATCACCTAGGCCTAAAACAATTTTATTAGGACCTTTAGATGGAATTACAGCATTTATCTGCAACAAAAAGTATCGTTAAATGTTTTTACAAATCAATTATTACTATAAACTAGCTGTAACCCACGGGCTTCATCCCGTTGACTTCATAAATAAAACTATTGATTGGTTAAGTTAAGCTGAAATAAACAAATAAGTTCAGCTGAGGTATTTTTAACATTAGGTATATGGAAAGTTCCCTTTAGAAAGGAATTACGACCTTAAAGGGCAATTTATGAAATAATGGATAGTTTTGCGCAATGTTTCTTGTCATGATGAACATTTTAAGTATATAGGCCTATGGTTTATGGGGGTGTGACTTGTAGTTTTCTCAAAAGTTCATGGGTACTTTGGGCTTTATATATGGATATATATATATGCCGAACGCACCCTTCCCCGCCTCATTTCCTATCTGCACGAATCCTTTTTTTTTATAAAACATTTTTTACGCCCCCGGTCCCAACTTTAAGTCTTACCTGTCTGGCGCCCCCCTAAAACACTTGGCTGACTGGTGCCCTAGGCTCCAGCCTAATTAGCCTAATGGGTAATCAGGCCCTGTCCACAGGCTTTATCGCTTGCGTCACAATGTAGAGTGAAAGGCTTAAATAATCAGGTATACCTAATACAGGTGGATTTGCAACACTATCTTTAAGCTTATGAAAACTAGCATCACATTCGTCAGACCATATGAACTGTTTGTTTTTCTTTCTTAATTCATTAAGTGGACTTGCAATCTCAGAAAAATTAGGTATAAAAGATTAAAAGTAAGATACCATTCCAATAAACCTAGAAACTTCTTTAGCATCTTTAGGAGCAGGACAATCTCTAATTGCTTGAGTTCTATCTGGATCAATCGACATAGTATCCTTAGAGATTAAAAATCCTAAATACTTAATCTCCTTAAATACAAACTTTACTTTCTGTGGTTTGACAGTTAGATTGTGTTTACTAAGCCTAGACAAAACTTCGTCTAAGTGTTTGATATGTTCCTCATATGTTTTAGAAAACACAATGACATCATCTACAAAATTAACTACATAAGAGTACTGAATTCCATCAAAAACTTTGTTCAGATATGAACTCAATAAACCAGACCCTAAATGTAATCCATAAGGGATTCTGTTCCATTCATAGCTTGAGAAAGGTGTTGTGAATGCAGTTATATGCTTACTCTCTTCACACAACTTGATCTGATGAAAGCTATTACATAAATCAAGTACTGTAAAATACGTACAACCATAGATTAAACAGAGTATGTTTAATCTATGGTACAACCCTGTAAATACTGACATATCTGATTACAATCTCCAATAGGATAGTTGACTCTTTCTATTTTGTTATTTAACTGACTGCAGTTAATTACAAGTCTAAATTTCTCAGAATTAGGCTTTTTTACTAAGAAGGTAGGACTTGCATAGGGAGATAGTGAAGGTCTTATCATGTTTTGGGAAAGTAGGTCATCTAGGATTTCTTTCATGGCAATCATACGAGGAGGGGATAATGGATAAGTTTTCAGGGATACTGGTACATCATCTTTAAGCATAAGCTTGAATTCAAAGTCTAAACCTTCTCCAATCTTGTTTGTAAATACATTAGGATATTTAGCAATTAGCTTAGCTACATCCTCCTTAGCATACAACCCTACTTGTACATTTTCATTGATATTACACACAACTTTGTTTGAATTACAAACAAACTCGACTTTACACTCATTATCAAACTTAAAATGACAACAATCATTGTTTAGATCTATAATCATACCAGACTTCTTGATAAACTCACTCCCTAGTATTACATTCCAAGTTAGATTTTGACCTACAAAGAATTTTACATTCTAAGAATATCTGTGTATTCTTGTCTTTACTTCACAATAACCCAGAATATTTACATTTTTGTTATTAGCTAACCTGCACTCGACTTCAGAATTGTAAACTCTTTTAACTAACACTTTTGATTGTAAGTTACTAAGCATTCTGTCACTTATTAAGTTAATACTACTACTACCCGTATCACTCAAAGCATTTTCTATACAGTTATAAGAAAATTCAGCCTTTAGTCACAGAAAACATATTACGTGCTTTAGTGTAGGTAACCTATTACTACAGTTAGTGTCAATCTTTAAGTTTAACCAATCATTATTGTTTAGCTCATATTGATTTGCTTTAAATTTAGATTGTTTCTTAAACTTGCGTCTTTCAAGTAAGTTCAAACTTCTACCGATCTTTTTATTACTGTTCCCGGTGAGAATGTTTCCATGGGATTGAGCCCTGATAGGAGCCTTAACGGGCCCATCCCTCATCACGCGTTTTTTTGGCGGACCATTTTTGGAATACCGTAGTGAATTTGATTTGAATGAGTATTTTGACCTTGAGTGCGTGATGGGTTATTAATGCGTTTCCTAGACTACCTCGCCATGTGACCATAAATACCACAATAGTAACACTTTCTAGTAGCATTAGTATTATGTTACCATTAATTTTAACCGGTTTACCATGATTACCTGGACTAGACCTTAAACTGCCTCTTTGCGTATCCTCATAGGCAACATTCTGCTCATGTACACACAATAACTCTAGTTCCTTAAAACTAGTGGGAGTTTCTGTTAATGCAAGACGGCTTCTAGTCGATTGATTCAAACCAATTATAATCAATTTGACAATGTCAATTTCAGAATACAAACAATTAAACAGTTTAGAATTTTCTCTGATTTCTATAATGTAACAACTTAGAGACTCGTTATGCTTTTGTGGTCTATTTAATAGCTCTCGTTTCAGGTTTTCTCTTAACCCTAGAGGTACAAAATAGTTCAACAATAGATTATGTACTTCTTCAATTGAGTGGCCTAACTGCTTAGATTCTACAATTTTACTGAACAGCGGTCCTATTGTGTAGCCTAGTATTACATCTAATATTTGGAAGTCTGATAGCTCGGATTCTTTTTTAAGTTTCAGCATGACTTTAACAAAATTTAAAAGTTCTCTAGCTTCGAGACCATCACAAGATTTTACGTTTTTTAAGTGTCTCTCAACAGTGGTTGCAGGCTTACATCACGTTTTGACAAAACTAATAAGTTTACTGCTTTACTAAATGACAAAATTTTTAAATTCATAAAATTGTTACACTATGTTCTGGCATTACGATAAAAAGTATGTGAAAGAACATAACACATAGGTACTGACTGACTGTGGGTCATATTGATGTGTTTTCTCAACATTTATGTTTCCTAACCTATGTCAAAATTGTAATCATAACTGTTAGTGTAAACTGAACCTTTTGGAAGATGTATGAATAAAACATGTAATTGTTGTTAACATTCCACCAGTTCATATTGTAACCCTCGATACATTTTCCAGGATAGATGCAGCTAAACACATGCACCCTGATGATTTGAAAATAATCTACGAAAGGTTGAACTATCTGAACACAAAACATGGTTTCGAAGAAAAAACTAAACCTTTGATATACCAGGAAGTCATAGACAAAGATGGTTTGTAGTTTGTTTTAAATTATGTGATTTAGTTAAGCCTATTTCCACACATTGAAATCTATTTGTTTAGATATGAAGTAAACCATTCCAAAGACTTATTAGACATTCCCAATGATTTTAGTTTTTTAATTAAGGTTGAATATTTAACACTATCAAAGGCCCTTTGATAAATCCATAAATATCCCTAATGTGTGTTCCCCTTTATCCACTGACTCAATTATGGCACTAACAAAATCTGCTGCTGCTGTTGTCACTGACCGGTTCCTTCGAAAGCCATGTTGAATATCATCTAGAAGTTATTGTTATCTAAAAATTCTGTCAACTGATTACATACAATTTTTTCATAAACTTTTTATATATTTGATAACAGTGAGATTGGTCGATAGTTAATTATATTATCTTTATCACCTTTCTTTTAAAAATTGGGATGACTTTTGAGATTTTAATTTATTTGGAAATAATCCTGATATGAAAGAAGAATTGATGAGGTGAGTTAAAACTGGGCAAGGAATTTTTTTGGAGTTTTTTTAATACAGAAGTAGGAATTTCATCCAGCCCCACTTGAAAATTTACTTTTGAGAGAGTTGATGACACGACTGACCTCCAACTCATCAACAGGTTTTAGATAAAATTGCGGTTTTATAATTACAGAGGTACTGGTAAGCTCATCTCCACCAGTTTCATGTGTTGCAACATCATTAAATCTGTCTATATCCTGTACAATGCTAACAAAATAATTATTAAATATATTAATAACTATTTTTGGGTCAGATTAATTATTGTCTTCGTACTTAATTACAAAATTTTCTATTCCTACCTTTCTTTTATTTCCTACTTCCGAGTTTATTATTTTCCATACTGTTTTAGGAATATGGATGATTTTTTAATTTTATTTTCAAAAGCAGTTTTCTTTGCTTGCTTAATATTTTGGTTATATCTTAACAATTGATATTTATAACTTATCTTATTTATAATTGATTTGTTTTTTTCATACCTTTTTTGCTTTTTATAACATTTTTTTCTCATCTTTTAATGTCTGCGTTACCCAACTATGTGCAATTGTATTCTTTTTTACTACTTTTTTTGGAAACCGCTTGATCAAAGTAATATTGTAGAATGTCAAAAAAATTATTATACTTGTCATGAACTTGGGCAAAATAAACATCTAGCCAAGATTCATGTTTAATAAGTTGATTACAAATAACAACAAATTTGCTTCTGAAAAATTGCGGCATTCTTGAAAAGTGTACTTGTTTGATTTAGGAAGTTCAGCAGAACAGGCAAATTCCAACATCTGACCATCATGATCAGAGAGAAGTGTGACAACACCAGTAACTGACATGATATTAACGTGTGATTTCTTAACTAATATATTATCTATAGCTGAGTCTGTTCAAAACTCACTCTGGTTGGAAAATCAACTAGATATTTCATGCATGAATTTTTAGCATATTTTCTAACATTAACTTATTTTTCTCATCTGGATTTGTGCTTGGTAAAACATTGATATTCAAATCTCCTGCCCAAGTGTCACAATTCTGCCTCGGAATAATCCCTTACCAATCGGTAGATGTTGTTAGGACATCGCTATCTTCTCAAAACTCTCAGAATCTCTGGCCACCAGGCGGAGGCGAAGGCTCCAGAAATATCCAGGAACAATCCTACTACGTATTTTCTTCTGTCTCCTTACTTCTCTTCTCATATCCAGAAGTGCGTCTACCTTTCCAACACTTTCCGTGAATCCATATTGCAGTGGATTTGCCCTATTTTCCCTATCCATCCATTCTTCCATCCTTTTCACAAAGAGAGAGAGAGAGAGAGAGAGAGAGAGAGTTCTATTATCTGGTCACTTATGCGGCTATACGCTCGTCCTGAAGTATACTTGTGGGGCTATTGGTC